AAAAAAAAAAAAAGTGAATTATTAACTACTCTCTTATACAAATGAAAAATTATCATTTTTAATTAGTTTATTATTTTAAATTAAAAAGTAAGAAATTTATATTTATAATGTACTTGAATTTTAATTAGAATAAAATATATATAATTTATTGAAAAGGTTGTTCTGGGACGTTGTAACAGTCTCAACATTCTTGTTATACCACACGTCATTTAAGGTACATAAGTCATTTTATGAGTATGTCACATAAATAAATGAAATTCAATAGTAAAATTTTATTGACCCAAATACCATTTATTTGAAAACCAGTGAGTATATAAACTAAATTGTAAAATTTGTAAATCTAATTGCATACTACATATTCTAATAGAAGTCTTACACAATCAAATATTTTTTGGAATAGATTATTAAAATAAAGTTTATTTAATCAAATAAAAAAATTAAGTACAAAATAAAGACAACAACGACATATAGACTAAAAAGAAAAGTGAAACGAGGCTTAAATCATTTTTACATATATAATGCATTGATTAAATCTAAAACATTTTGCAATAAAATAAAATTAACTATGGGTTAATATGATATAACTAGTACAACGCCCGTGTATTATACGGTTCTTTGCTAATTTTTTCCTTAAAATATAAAATTATTGAGAAAAAGTAGTTGAAAATTTAAATAACTTTTATAAAAATATATATTATTATATATTTAGTGTGACAATTTTTATTTGTGTGACTTACTTGTGTTATATTATAATAATTTTTTAACTTACAACATATAACTACATTAAACAAAAATATATCAACTGAGAAATAATTTTATTTTTAATAAATATTATTTTTTAATAATAATAAAAAAAATTTAATAAATATTATTTTCTAATAAATATTATTTTTTAATAATAAATATTTTTTTTTATTATTATTTTTTATTTCCATTGCATATGGAGTTGGAAGAGTCATTGTTGACAATTCTCCTAGCATAGTGCTAATAATGGACCAGATCAAAATGGCTCAATTAAATTCTAGTGCTTCTTCTATTAGTGAAGTTTCTAGAAAAAAAAATATCAAACGACGCAACGCACCTTGGGTCGCTATGGAAACAGCCTCCTTGTATAATTACAAGGGTAAGGTCTGCGTACAATTGACCCCCCAGACCCCAACTTGTTGGGAATATACTGGGTATGTTGATGATGTTGATGTTGATGTTGAATAAATATTATTTTTTATTATTATAAAGGTAAATATTATTTATTTATTTTATATATACAATATGGATGTCAAATCGAAGATCATGAAAAGATGATTAATTTGATATATTATATATGTGAAACCGATAAGAAATAAAAAAGTTATCAACTTTTAAATACATTTATAATTCAATAGCTAATTGAAGGAAACAAATCAAAGTCAGGAATATATTAGTCACTTAGTGTCTCACTATGTAAAATTACAAAGAGTTAAAGGGTTATATTAGTACAAGTGATATTATAATACCTAAGTTAGCTAAATAATATTTATGGAATGTCCGAACCTTGATATTAATTATTAATATATCAATTTATTTGTCCGAACCTAATTACGAAGCATGATTCTTCGCCAAGTAGGATTTCGAAGCACCAGAAGCAGCCACGTAGGCTCAACGCATTCGAGAATTATATATACTAGTACAGCTCCCGTGTAAATACACGGGTGCTTGCTAATTTTTTTTCTTAAAATCTAAAATTAATGAGAAAAAATATTTAAAAATTTAAATACCTTTTATAAAAATATATATTATATATATTTAGTATGACACTTTTTATTTGTGAGACTTACCTGTGTTATATTATAATAATTTTTTTAACTTACAACATGTAACTACATTAAACATAAATATATCAATTGAGAAATAATTTATTTTTCTAATTAATTTTAATAAATATAATTATTTTTTATTATTATAAATATAAATATAATTTATTTATTTTAGTATATACAATATGAATGTCAAATCGAAGATCATCAAAAGATGATTAATTTGATATATTATATATGTAAAACCGATAAGAAATACAAATGTTATAAACTTTTAAAATACATTTACAATTCGATGACTAATTGAAGGAAACAAATCAAAAGTCGGGGATATATTAGTCAATTAGTGTCTCACAATGTAAAATTACAAGAAATTAAAGGGTTATATTAGTACAAGTGATATTAAAATACCTAAGTTAGCTAAATAATATTTATAGAATGTCCAAACCTAGATTATTATTTATTAATATATCAATATTATTTGTCCAAACCTAATTACGAAGCATGATTCTTCGCCAAGTAGGATTCTGAAACCAGAAACAGTCACGTAGGCTCAGCACATTCGAGAATTATATATAGGGAGGATAGGGTTGATATGCCCTAAAATATCGTTTGTTAGTATAAATTTAGAAAACCAAAAAAATAAGATAGAGCTAGAGCCTAACCCAACATTTGAGTGGTTCCGCCCCTATATCCACACACAAACTCGAAATTAAATCCAAATTTCTACCCAATAATTGATTTTCATTCTAACTCACTTTATCCAATAAGTCAAATCCAATTCAAAAAAACTTGTTTCCAATCGCAATTTTACTAACTTGTTTAAGTAATGTCATATCAAATTTACCACAAACTTTATTTTTTACAAATTTATAAAATTTATATGGTAGTTAATAAATACACATATATATATATATGTGTGTGTGTGTGTGCGTGCGCGCGCGCTAAGGATCCTATGAGAATGATTGCTAGTGAAGGAAATGAGAATAATTTGTGCACCATTTGATCTGTTAAATCAATGGTTAAGGTATAGTCAACATCCATTTTCCTCTGTTGACTACGCGGTGGCACAACCGTAAATACAACAACTTTTTCAGACAAATATCTACACAGGAGGGTATTATAGTCTTTCATTCCATTAGCCTAGGGTAAAGGCAGATTTAAGTCTCATTAATTGTGTCTGGCATTGATTGACGAGCTCAGTGGGTAGGGGTGGCGGTTTCACAGCGTTCGATGGACGTTTGAGCTCAAGTTCTCACCGGATTCCGTCGCGTGAGTAGCAGTCGTGCTTATTCCTTATTATACTGAGTTTTTTTTATGCGATTAATAGTTCGATTTCATACTGATTTTGGAGATAGTTCGTCAATTGCAGAATATGGGAAACTCTCCCCAAACGAGGAAACGAGGTATGATTTTTGTACTATGAGGAGCTGTTCGTCAATTTTTGTGTAAGATCTCAGATCTTGGAGATAGTTAAATTTCATGATATGTGTAAGATCTCATACTATGAAGAGTTGTTCGTTAGTGTTGTACAACCTTCTTGAGTTCTTAT